AGTACATCATATGATAGATGAGAACATTGACTTTCTATTGATTATAGGTAATATATAATTAAATGCAAGAGTGAACTATCAACATACGAATTGTGAAAGAGAGGATGTTACAGGTGGGTGTGGCAGGGGGGGTCTGATATTCTATTCAGTAGCTCTGTAACCAATCAAAATTGAAGACTATATAAATTATGGTTTGTCTGAGCAATAACAATTTTATAGAGTAATTTACATTTAATTTTGTACTTTTTCGAGGGCTAGTGGATAAAATAGAGATGATAACATGCTAAGAGAAAATATGTCACGTGGGTCACACTAGTGGGAATTCAGGATTTTTTGAAAATATTTCCTTGTAGAACTAAGAACTTAAAACTTGTATGCTATTAAAATATGGATTATTAGCTAAGATTTTATGCTATTCTAATTGATATAACATAAAAAGAAAAGTAGTTTAATAACATTTTGAATGTAAGACACTAAAACCTTGTATCATGCACAGTAAAGGACATCGGGGGGATAGGGTTAACACATACTTTTTTCTGTTATTAGCAGGTGGGTGTCAACATTCAGATGTGTTTGCGCTTCATGTTCACAGGACACTACCATTACAATTACATTCTGTTGTATCTGTACAAGTCCATTCTACCTCTTGTTTTCATCTTCCCTCCATTTCCCACTTATAAAACTGTTCAGATTGTCTTTTATGACCTTTTTGTGCTCTCCAATGTTATGTGGTATGCACTGAAGCATTTAAGGGAGCACATCCCCTTTATTTATCAATTGGGATCCTTTAGTATCACATGACTTATCCCCTGTTTCTTTGATAAGTTAGATTTGTCAGTTGGTTCAGATAGCTTACTCTGGTCTTTCATTGGAGGAGCGAAGACTTATTAGGGTCTCATCTCATCAAGTTAGACATATATGAAGGTTCCTGGCAGTTTAGCTGGGTCGCCCGCTGGAGGAAATTGTACAGGCTGGTATATGGACCACGCCTAACACCTTTATATTGTACTTTTTACATGATTTAGCAGTCTCCTCTTCAGATTGGTTTTTACTACCCCCCTGTGGCTATTCTACACACTCCGGTTTGATTTTGATAGAGGTGAGTAATTTCATTTCTTTTGTGCTATTCTATTCCTTTTCAGGGACCTTCTTCTCATGCTCATTTGGATCCCACTCAGTGGTGAGTGTTTCCTGGTCAGTTATCCTTTTACAAATTTGCACTAGCTACGCTACCAGTTGACTAATAATCAAATTCCTGGTAGCATCAAGCTTTGTTAAGATGGGGCGTCCCATAAGACTGCCTTAGCGCTTTCTGGGTGGTGAACAATTGTTTTATATCCAAATATCAAATACAATACTGGGCCATCACTCATGGACTGTTCTAAGTAAAGCATTAAGGGGCTTTGCCCATCCCTGCTAACCCCTGACTTGAACAAATCGGGGTTGGTTTGCTTTTCAAAATAGGGAACATGGTTCACCTTTTGCACTGACTCTGGAGCATTGTTTCAGGACTCCCCAATGCAAATCCCCTCTCTGGTAGTGGTGCGAGGGAGTTCTTACCACTCTGTTTCCAGTTGTTGGAGTAATGGACAAAGGTCTATTTCCCCCAAGTGATATTTGTGCTCTTTATTCTGCTCAAGGAGAAGAGAGCAAAGCTGGATACCCTTCCATCCTTAACCCTGGATGGTCTTCCCATCGATCAGTTGGTATCCAGTTGTGTGAACATGGCCCTTCTTTTTGGTCATTTTCTTACTTTACATGATAATGGAAGATTGTCCTCAACTCCTCATAATTCCTTACACGAAGTGTCACATCTATGAGCTACTGGTTGAACTTTGTTTGTTCCACATCCTCTTCGTAATTCCAGAGGAAAGAGGCATTACCTTACTCACTAGATTGAGGAGTTGGGATTTCGGTTCGTAGTCATAGACAGGAACTCTGATTCTTCAGGTTGAGTAAGGCGTGAATTGGCTCTGTAATTCTGAGTTCAGTTTGTTACATTCTATACTTCTTCAGGTTAGAGGAAAGACTTGTCCAGTTGGGTGTTGTATGCCTTCCCTTCATAATTCTGGTGGCTCGAAATGAAACATCCTGTAACTTTCAGGTTGGATTCCCTTCATAACATATTCCTATTATCAGTTATATAATATTGTGGTCCCCATGCCCTACCCACTATGTGGATATAGCTTTGCATCTACATCCCTATAAATCCAACAATATTATATAGAACCTTGTATGTGTGGTTAGGGCCTGGATGAATCTCATGATAATGAACAATGTTGACTTTATTGCCCTTGGCCTTTACTGCCGACATTTAGATTTCACTTTATCTGGGCAAAGAGCATACCTGTTCCAGAAGTAATGTGGACCCCCACTAATGTGCATTATTATATCTCAATTTTGCACACCTGTTTTTCTATGCAAATGCTTTCTGTGTGGATCTTGCCCTCACTGGCCCTTCCACCTGGTGAGTGTGGGATTCTAACTAAACTGTTAGGGGGAGGTGTGTTTCAGAAGCTTACATTTTCCTATACCTAAAATGTATTTCCAATAATACTTACCTCCTCTCGCACTATCCTGCCCTTCTTTCCATGATAGCTGGTGCTTGTGTCTGACAATCTTGCCAGTTTCGAAAAAATTGAATAAGAAAGAATAACAGGGAGTTTATATGTGGATTGGGTATAGGAGCACATTGATGTAGGTGGAGAGAGTCACAAGATTAAAGTCATTAGGGGTGATATAGTGGGGTATAAAGACTGGAGCAAGCAAGGTAGAATTCATACCAATGCTTAGATGGGCAAAGAAGAGAACCTTTCATTGGGATAAAGCTAAAGTGTGAGAAGAGGTTAGTACTATCAGAAATACATTTTCCTATAAGGAAAATGTCAACTTTCATTTCTAGTGTTAATAATGATTAAAGTGGGTTAACATTTGACATTCGATGTGCTTTCTGTGTAAGATGTATTTGGGTTTTTAAGATGAGTAGTTGAAATTAATTAATATTAAATATTCTTAGTAGTTTGGTTTTTACTTTACAATTCTGACTTTGTCTTACATTTATTAAAACTAAATCCATTATTTAGATTTTAAAAAGTAAATATGGACACTAGAATGCCTTGACTTTTGGATTTTTTTAAAAACTTTTCTTGTGTATTCATAAAAGCTTTCTTTAGTTATAATTTTTGAAGCAATGTAGAGTTTCCAAAGTTATTTCCTGTTTTTTTTTTAGCTAAGGCCTTATCACATAGAAGTATTAAATCAAGATCATATAAAGAAACACAACTTCCATTTTTGGAAGATGATATTTATTAATATAAGCTGGTTAAGCCCTTGAATTTATTATTAGAAAAGTATTTGTCAGTCTCAGATAGTTCTGTGTCTAGACTAGATGATTTAAATATATTAGTTGAAAAGAAATGTAGAACTAACAAATTATGTAAATTAACTCGACTTCACTCCAAGCAACATTGAAATCCATTTATAAATAAACATAATGATATCTGTAAAGATTTGTTAAGATGTTTAAAGGACTTCCAGTTATCTTCTTATGCTGAAGAGAACTTCAATACAGTGAAAACATATGTTAGTAGCTGAACTTTGTTGCCTTTTTAGAATTATAATTCAAGAAAGAAATCTTACAGTACATCTCAAGAAAAACACCAAACTCTTGTTAAATGAGCAAAACTTGGGAGTATCTTCAATAAAGAATATTATGTCAGGAAATTCAACAATATATCAAAAGATAGTACAAAATTCCTGAAGTTGAATATAGATCTAGGATTTACAAGGGAGTTAAACTTACAAAAGTATTTATTGTAGTTAAAGGAGGATGAAGTTAAACTGGGAATGTATATAGTGATATCTGACCTGGTGGCTTTCATTTTGGCTTACCAAAATTTAATAAACAGAACATTTCTGTAATACCAGTAGATTAAAATATTGGCGCTTACAATTTTAAACTAGCTGGTGTTGGGGGTTATTTTTCTTCATGAAAATATAATCAATGAATTCATTGTTAAAGGTATTTTTAAGGTTTTGACTTTTGTTCAGAATTTGAAGTTTAACATTTGCATGGCCAACTTTGATGTAGAATCTCTTTATACTAATGTTCCATGACAAGAAACGATTTATGATCAAAACTGGTCTTTTCTTCTTCAGACACAATGATTGACCTTTTCAAATATCTGGTTTCTAAATTGATTTCTTATGCAGCTAAGGAATCACATTTAATGTGTAATGGAACAGTTTTTGATGAGATTGACCATCAAGTGTGAACAAGAATGTAGTTGCAATTATTTGGTACTCTAGTTTATTAATGACAAGGTTCTTTTAAAGTAGGATTTATTGTAAACCAGATTTTTTAAGATGACTTTATACACATTTTAGTTGTTTTGTTTCTAACGTGTTTAAATTTAGTTAAAATAACTGTGTTGTACCTACAGGATTGTAAGCAATTATTTTAACTTTCATGTTGAAATAAACTGTATTACAAACTTTCTGAAATGCAATGAATTTTATAGTAATACCAATGAAATGCTAAATATACTGAACACCTCTAAAGTTCTTAAATTGGATGTGACAAAAAAACCGTTAGTTATTATTGTAACTTACTTTTAATGCTAGCAGAGTTTATCCAAAAGTTGAAATGAAATGTATTTTTAAGTCAATTGCTAGAATAAAAAGATTTTCATTTCAAGAATGTAATATCTACAAATGAGAGGTCATTTGTTATTTATAAATTTGTATGACCTTCCTGTGTGGAGGAATACAGAGGCTCTACTATATGGGTAATTCTTTACCTCTGTAAAAGAGCATAATATTTGGAACATTCAAACCTTGTCAAGTTTAGTATAACATTTCTTAAAATGTAATATTCTTATAACCAGTGAGAAATTTACTATAATGAGTTGAGATGATGATGAAAAATTACAGATTCATGAGTTTGAGAATTGTTAATCTTAAGCTAGAATTAACCAACAGAACTCGTCAGTATCAATCCTTTTGAAAGTGTCAGTTATAAGGTGAATAATATTTGTTTTAATGTATTTGATTTTTTTACTACACCAAATCCACACACTTTCCATCATCCAGACAAGTAATATCCTGAAAAAATGTTCTCAGAATAATAAGGAAAGATTCCTCATTAGTGAATACATGTTGGCATATTTTTCAGTTTTCTTTTTCTGGCTTAACCCATTACCTGCTATGGCCATTTTGTCTTATCGTTAGGGCAAAATCACACTTGTGAGTTGAAAAAATTATAGAGAACTTTTATTTTTGTAAATAGTAGCATAACATTCAATTATTTGTACCAAATTTTATTATTTAATGAAGTTTAAAGAGAAATTTAATAAAGAAAATCCCAAAATACGTTTGAGACTATAAATAAGTGCTCTCTAAGAAGATTTGTTTTAAAAATTTTTTTAACTTCTTCCTTGCACTTCAGTGCTGGTCCTGCCATCTATGATTGGTAATTATAACTTTTATTAGTCTGTTTTCTTTATAAAACAGCTTCTGTGCGTGTAAAACCTCTGTTGTAAAACTTTTAGCCAATTCTAGTAGAAGGTGTCAATTTCAGTACCATGTTATTCCAATCGCTGTATTTCACGTTTGACAAAGCATAGGATGATAAGCAAAGCATGTGACGATATGTTGTTCTTTGGATTTTATAATATGAATGTGGGTGGTGCTTATTATTGTAAGTGCCGTTTTAAGTAGAGGATGTATTTAGTATTGGTCAATAGTACTTTTTTATAAGCCTTAGAAAACTTGCTTCTGGAAAAAACTGCATGGGATGTATGTGACTTATTATTTTTCTATAGTAGCTTAAGTCATGCTGTATCGTATAACCATTTATAATAATCATTATATTGAAAAATTAACTCAAAATAGATATATTTATTAGGAAAAAAGTTAATCCATGATTGTTAGGGTTAAGAACCATTGAGTGGTGTGTGCAAGGTCATTACTTGAATTAGGCTTAGAACTTTGAACTGAAAGAGTTTGTAATTTTTTTATATTCTTTTGCATTTAAATTAGTAGTCTTAAGTTCAATAATTTATCATAATTTTATATTGAGTTCATAATAATAATAATAATATGATTCAGTATTTATAATGATAAACTTGTGTGATTTGTACGTAATACCACTAGTACCAGTACCACATAATAATTTTATATTTTTCCTTCTTACTATATTTACTTTGTAATAAGACCCACACTTCTGTTGTTGTTGCTTTAGAATTAAAACAATCTAACTAATATACATAAAGTTTATTCTGATATTTTGCAAATGGTTTAAAACTCAGTGTACATGTGACAACAATAAAACCCATATGTTGGTTGTGAAACAGACTAAATACAATCGTCTCCATAATACAAGGGAAGCTATGACATTTTCACAGTTGGGGTCTCAATACACTGAAGAGCTTAAGTTTTGAATTCCAACATAAATCTTGCCTATAATGAGAGGAATGTTACCAGGACTAATCTTTTAAGTGCTGTAAAGTAATTTTCTTTGTAATTTATGGTGTCTGTTTCGTTTGGTAATCTCTTCTAACAGGATGTATCAAGTAACTAGGGTCAGGCGGTGTTATTCAAATCACCTGTGCTGTAAACTATTACATACAATCGCTGGTAGGGGCAATTAGTTTTGTCTGTATAGTAAAACAACATACAAGGACATGTGTTGAAATAAACTTGTTTGAAAGTTCAAAGAAATGATATTCAAGTACTGAAAAGCTTTCTTGCTATCATATCTACAGTAATGTTCAAGTGTGCCTGCACTGGACTGAACGAGAGTGACCACCAACAGGCATGGTAGTTTACAGCAAATGTACAAAGTTCACAATTTATTTGGCACAATAAACAAAAGTATGGCTGCAATGAAAAATAAACTTGAAATAAAAATACAGTTATGAAACAAAATTATAATGTTTTTTATGTACATATATAAACATGAAATCCTAGTTTAAATAAAAATACTCATTTATTGTTTAGGTTTACTTAGAAATATTATTTTCAGGTCTTGTATATTGCTTGAAACCATAAAGAGAGCACGTGATTTTTAAAAAAATTTAAAAATGGATAATATTTGCATTTTATGGACGTTAACCATTTTTGGGGATTTTTAAAATAATGTACTAAAACATAAAAAATAATAAGTTCAAATCTGGAACAAATATAAATATTGTAATCATTTCTTATAAATACCATTTTCTAAAGTAATTTTCCAAGATATTAAAGATCATAATGCAAAAAAACTAAATTTTGGTTGATGCTGACTTTCCTTAGGCTGTATAAATTCTGAATATTTGTCTGGATATTTCCTTTAAAAGTTGGCTTTGAAAATAAAACATAATAAGCCTGATATCAAATATAAAGCTACTAAAGAAAAATTAGATTTGACAACAATGCCCGTTATTTACTTTTTTTTTTATCTTAAAATGTGTTACTGATTTTGCTTCAAGATCTAGTCTATAGTAAACATAGATCTAAAGATGCAGATAATACAGCTGATATTTACTTTAATCACTTTAAGCTTTATGTTGGAGTTGGGCTTCTTCTAATGTTCAAAGATGATATAAGGAAATGAAGAGAAAATAAATCTATGTAAGATGAAAGTAATATGTAGATTTGTTTCAAAATGTGATTTTGAGAAAATTGAATTATACTTTTAATCAAAATAATGCAGCATCTTGTTGTCACTGAACAGATTGCAGTTCTTGTGAATATCTTTCTTCATTGAATTTTTTTGTAATTCGTTGTTACCTACCAAGCTGCTGAAAGCCACTAAGAAAACTATATCTGTTGGGTGGAAGATAGCCTCAGTAGTATGATAAATATATATTAGTAATTTTTTAGGGCAAATGTGTTTCTTGAAATTTTTAATGGACTTGAAACATAAACTAACATATTTTTACATGAATATTTTGTAAAGATTCTTCTGTGGAGACAAAAAACTACATTTGCAAAATCACCTTTTACTTGATTATTCATATTCATGCATACCTTTACTGAGAATTACCATCATTATAATGTTTTTGTGTAGGATTGTTAAGTAAACTTTAATAGTAAACTATTTTCAAAAGCTTTATTTATCATGCTATACAAATTGTGTGGTGAAAGAACTCATTCTTTCTCAGTTAAAAATGTTTTAAGGTTTTCTTAGTTTTTTCTTAGGTTTAATTAAGATTCCTCTATGATTTCAGGATGTGCCTAGTTAGAGTAATGAAAGAAGGAGATAAAGGCAGGTTTGTTAGAAATAAAGTGGTTGAGGCAATGTGGAAGGATGTAGATATGCGACTTAGTAAATTAGGGGTAAGTCCAGTTTGTTTTACAGATAATTTTCGATTACCTTGATGTAACTTTGAAGGAAATAAAAAATGGGTAACAATAACTTTTACAAAACTCAAGAAAAGGATAAAACCCATGAGTAAACTTATTTTTTAACAATCAACACTTGTAGATATGAAAGAAGATCTTGCAAGTTGTTGTTTATTCTTAACCTTGAGGTGGCTACCAATCTATATTTAGTATTTTAGTCATACTGCTTTTATTATAAAGTTGATTTATTTTGGTTTTAAAAAGTTATTATTTTAAACCAACAATTTTATCATTCCTGTATACATTTTAGGAATCCAGTGCAGCCAAGAAAAGAGAAGGCAAGAAAGAACTGCTAAGCCACTTTCAAGCCTCTTTGTTTTCTTATGATGAGGTGTGGACATTCAGTTTTATATTTTACTGAATTTTAACAAGTGAAATAGTTAAACATTACTATTATTTTTTAAACAAAAAAACAGTGTCATCAATGTGCATATAACTGTTGAATGAAAAGCATTTCAAAAATCATTTATGCTATAGCTAAATGTATATAGTTTTGGACCTGAAAACATATCTTTATATACGTTTTTATTATTAAATTTATAGATTTATAGAAATTAGAGAAGAAAAATAATATTTTTGAAACCCATATTGTTTCTTCCTTTTAGAAGTTTATATTTCATAGTCTATAAACAAGATCTTGATTATTTGATTCATATGCGTTGCTCAATGTTCTCTATAATTTTTCTTTGTACTGGGCAGACTACCAACTCCTATGAGCACTACTTTTCTTTTCACCAATTTTTTTGAGCAAATGTTGATACTTATGTTTGTACATAGTATTTTTCAAATTATAGGTATGTGTCTTCCACATAATACAATTATCAACTCGTTAATTTACGAGGGGCTTGTAATTTTTGATGCACAGCACCTACCATGTTGCTGTGCAGTTGCACATGCTTGCAACTGAAAGGGAACACTGCTTTGCCCAAAATGTTAATTTTAGTCGAAAGGTTACTACAATCAGAATATTATGAATGAAAACATGATTTCTTTATGTTGTATTTTAATATTCTAAAGTACTTTGGTTAAGGATTTTGTTATTTTAACTCACTTAAAAATTTCAAAGATGTGTATAAAAAGTGTTTAAAGAATTATTAAGGTATGATTCTTGCTTTTCCAGCTAATCATCATGAGTAAACGTATTTTGTGAAATAATCTCATATTCTTTAAACAATGTAGAATGAGGAAAAAGAAAGTCATGTATATGTAGATAAGTATATCTGTATTTGTAGCAGTAAGTGCATAACTAGTTATCTTAGTTATGCTTTAACAGATACATCAATGCATCCTTTAGCTGGCTTCTAGTCAGGGGAATGATATTTTGGGGAAAGCCAGTAAGATAATCTTCCTCCTTTGTTACTGAGCCACAGCTGGCTGTATATGATGGTTTTATGAAAGCTTCAGGTGGAAGTAATAGAAGAATTGCTGGACAGTATGTCATTGAGAAAACATCTCAGAAAACTGCTCTTGTAAAGGATCATTGTTAAATTATAAGAAAGTGCTAGGTTCTACAGGAACAAAAATTTGATCTGTGGTTTATTCAAACATCACTGGTGTCAGAAGTGAAACTGTAGGACTTTTTATTGATCTCTTGGTTGAAAACTTCAACAAAATAGAATTTGAAAATAAAGTGGGTTGAGAGAATAAAAAAACTTTCGATAGGCTAGGGGCAGGTGAAGGAGTCTTTTGGTTTGATTCTTTTGTACTTCCTGGTTTTCAGAGTAGCTCTAGCTTTTGTTTTAATTATTGTTCTTTAGTCAGAGTCTTGTGACTTGATTCTTCCATATCACCAGGTTTTGAAATTAGCTTTAGTTTTTTTTAGTTCTTGTTCTATGCTGATCTAAGAGATCCAGACTTCTACTGTTCCAAGACAGTTTTTTAGGATCACATGAATTTGGCAGCAGCTGATTAAGAACTCTTTCAGTACATCCAGCTGACTGTTCTGTGGTGTAAATGGAAGTAGGATCGCTCTCAGAAAGTAAATGCTTCTTTAAGTCACTTTTATTCAAAGTAACTTTACTGTTATGTTTTTCTAAACTAAAATCTGAACAGATTTGTTGGCTGTAATATGCCTGAGAAAATGTTGTTGCAACACTTAATGGTGTTGTGCTAGGAGAGTATAATTCTTTAGAATCAACATTTGTTTGTTTAGGATGTTTCACATTTATTACTTTTCCAACAAGAACCCAATTATTTAACTGATTACATTTTGTATATTTGATTTCTTCTTTGGTCACTTTCTGTATTCCTTTGTTTTGAATCTTTCCCTCTTTTTTTTCATATTCATGTTGAGCTGCAGACAGCAAGCTTATAATATCCACCAATGATTTCACACCACCTTTCTCTTGGACCCTGGAATGGCTAAAGCCACTCTATTCGTACCAATTATAAGCAGCATTGCATTTCTGTTGTTGAAGAACAGGCTTACCTTGCTTGGTAGTGCACAGCTTAGAACAAGAACTATTAAAAAAAGCTAAAGCTAATTTCATAAACAGGAAATACAAAAGAGTCGAACCAAAAGACTTCTTCACCTGCCCCTGTTCCTTTCAAAAGTCCTGTTTTATCCTCTCAACCCACTTTACTTTCAAATTCTATTTTGTCAAAGTTTTCAACCAAGAGATCAACAAAAAGTCCTACAGTTTTATTTCTGACACCAGTGGTGTTTGGACAAGCCACAGATCAAATTTTTGTTCCTGTAGAGCCTAGTACTTTCTTATCATGCAACAGTAATCCTTTACAAAAGCAGTTTTCTGAGACTTTTGTCTTAATGACATACTGTCCAGTGAGTCTTCCATTACTTCCACCTGAAGCTTTCATAAAACCATCATATACAGGCAGCTGTGGATCAGTAATAATGGAAGAATATTATTTATCTTAGTTTATATTAATCTTTCCCCATTAAATGATCTTCTAGCATATATTAGATTTAAAAAAAATGTACATCTAGATATCATAAAACAGGAATGTGAAACTTGTGATGTTAAATTTTGTTTTATTATTTTTAACACATTATTAGGGTCTTCTAAGTGATGACAAAATCCTTGCTGCTGCTATCTGGAGGATCTTATTTTGTTACTCTTGCACTAGTCCAATTTTGCTTGAAGAATTGGTCCATTATGTTCGAAAGCAGGTTTGTACCAAAGTTTTGTGACTTAATTTCATTTACTTTACAGTCACACATACATACATACATACATACATAAAATATCCATATATATATTCAGGGAATGAAGGGTAAATATATATATTTCAATTGTAAATAGGTGAATCAACATAAACATTAATTGTTTATTCCTGAAGAAATATGATTGAGATTTATTGGTTGGTAGTACTTTCACAGCATAGAAACTGCTTTGTAGCCAACAATTCTTCTAATATTCACTGAAGTCCTACTTGTTATTAATGTATGTATATTTTGCATATTTATAAAAATACAGAATTATGAAAGATTGTATCTACAGTTGTAACTTTTTGAGCATCAAAATAGCTTTACACTGTGAAACCACTACAAAATGACAAATTATGTAGTCTTTAAGAATAAACTAGTCAAAAATACTTGTTGTTTCAAGCCCTTTATAAAATGTCTTGTTTGTAGTTATGGATAAACATCATTTAAACTGAAATGAAATTATTTGTTATTGTTATATATTTGTGGAATTTTTACCCTTTTGTTAGCAGACACTTAGACACGGAAAATGGTGTAATTTGTAATTTTTATGTGTTTGTATCATTGCCTGTGAAAAGCACATAGAATCATCATGAGTTTTATTTTTAGTACTGCATGAAGTGAGGGAAAAAATGAAGTAGGATGGTTTGTAAAATTCTTGAATTTAAAAAATAAGAGAGAACCTTGTTGGTTTATGTATAACTAACTGAGTTACCTGGCAATGAAAATTTAGATTTGAAATGTATAGTTCAGTATTTTTTCCAGCAAATTATTCAGTAAGTAGACAAAAGCTGTGATGCAAGAAATAAAAAATCATTTAATCAAACAAAGCTTTATTTCAAATTAGATCGTGTTTGAGCTTGTCTTGTTCTTTGAGCCTGAAGTCGTACATCATGTTGCTCCTCTGTTTCTTG